TGGTATATGATTTTAATTGTTTTGTGCATTCTCTACTTGTGAAATGTGTTTGGTGCCCTGTGGTAGTCGGGTTTTTATGGTTTATGGATTTTGTATTTGAAGTGTGTTTATTACCATCTGGTATTGGCGTTTTGTTGATTTTGTTGGTTTTGTACATCTGGAGTGTTTGGTACCCAAATGTATTTGTTTTTATGGCTCTGTAGGTTTTGTTTTTGGAGTGTGTTTGCTACCTAGTGGTATTTGCATTTTCATGATTCTGTGGGTTTCTATTTATAAAGTGATTTTACTACCCACTAGTATTTGGGTTTTTATGGTTTTGCGCTTGTGGAGTGTGTTTGATACACATCGAAATTTGGGTCTTTCCTGTTTTGTGGGTTTTGTGTTTGTGGAGTGTGTTTAGTACCCACTGGTGTTTGGGTTTTTTATGGTTTTGTGGGTTTAGCATTTGTGGAGTCTGTTTAGTACCCAATGGTATTTTGATTTTTATAGTTTTGTCAGTTATGTATTTGTGGACTGTGTTTGGTACCCACTGGTATACATGTTTTTATGGTTGTGTGGCTTCTGTCCTTGTGCTGTGTGTTTGGTAACCACTAGTATTTCAGTTTTTATTGTTTTGTTGGTTCTGTATTTTGGATTGTGTTTGGTGCTCACTGGTATTTAATGCCTTTTGATGGTTTTTTGGGTTCTGTACTTGTAAAGTGTGTTTGGATGCACACTGATTTTTGGGTGTTCATAGTTTTGTAGATTCTGCACTCACGGAATGTTTTTGCTACCGACTGGTATTTGGGTTTTTATGGTGGTCTGGGTTATGTATTTTTAGAGTGTGTTTAGAACCCACTGATATTGGATTTTTCATAATTTTGTGGGTTCTGTACTTTGAAGTGTGTTTGACACCCACTGGTATTTGGCTTTTTATTGTTTTGTCGGTTCTGTATTTGTAGTGTTTGGTACTCACTGGTACTTGATTTTTATGGTTTTGTGGGTTCTATCTATGCTTGTGAAAAGTGTTTGGCTCCCACTGGTATTTTGGTTTTTATGGTTTTGTGTGTTCTGCACTTGTAGTGTTTTGTGCCCTCTGGTATTTGGGTTCGTATGGTTTTGTGGGTTCAGTACTAGTGGAATGTGTTAAGTACCCACAAGAAGTTTGCTTTTTATAGTTGTCAGTTTTGTTACTGTGTTTGGTACCCACTGTATTTGTGTTTTCATGGCTTTGTGGGTTCTGAACTTTTGGAGTGTTTTGTAGCCTCTGGTGTTAGAGTTTTTATGGTTTTGTGGGTTCTGTAATGTTATGGTTTTTCTTACTCTCTAGTGCTTGGGTTTTCATGGTTTTGTGGGTTATAGTGTTGGTACCCCACTGGTATCTAGGTTTTGTGGATTTTGTACTTGTTTGGTACCCACCGGTATTAAGGTTTTATGGTTTTGTGAGTAATGTACCTTGGTGTGTTT